AGATGTAAGCGGGACAGACAGACACAATGGTAGAGAAAAGGTAAGATGTGTATTGTGGAGTGGTGTTATTATTTCAAATGGAAGGCTTTGTGAAATTTATTATTTGCCCTTAAACTTTGACTTCAGCTTCCTCCAAGGGTGGGGGGGGGGTACATTTAAAGCAGTTAATTAATAACAGTTCATTAGCCGTCTTCTTGCTTCACAGTATCTCTGGCTTTCCGTCGTTGTATTTAGGGCTGGACATCGAATCAGGTGGGTCTTCTCCATTTCCTCCTGTAGGTTACATAGAGGGCATGTGGGTTGAGTGTATACTCCCAATCTGTGAAGGTGTTTTGCCAAGCAATCGTGTCCGGTACGTAGTCTAAACTCAGCAACGGCTTCGATTCTTGGCCAGTCGGGTATGTCGGAGAGTGCCACTGTCCACTCTTTCTCCTTTGTTCGAGCTTTAAGTTCGTTACACCTTGAGGTCTGGAATTCTCTTCTGATTAGGCTTTCATTGAGTGGAAAGACATCGGCCGGTCCATGCATAGCAAAATCGTTGTCCCCTTCTTGGCAAGTGTGTCAGCAAGCTCGTTGCCCTTAATGCCACAGTGACCAGGAATCCATTGTAGAAACCACTGTTTTGTTTTTCTCTCTCAGCAGCTCATAGAGTTTTCTACATTCCTTTATCTCAGCTGTTTTTGGTGGCTCTCTGTTTCCAATTGAGTTTATTGCTGACTGTGAGTCCGAAATTACCACAGCTTTGGTGAATTTCGTATCCAGGCAACATAATTGGGATGGTACTACCCTAATGGCCTCTATTTCTCCTTCAATAGCGGATCTATTGTGTCCCGCTGCTGCGTAGAAAGAGAAGAGTTCCGAATAGACACCTGCACCAAAGTTTGCTTGGTTTTCAATGTATGACCCATCAGTGAAGACTTGGAGCCATTGATCTCCAGGATAGTTGACATTGATTGTCTCAAGGGCCAGTGAGCGCATTTGTTATAGAGGGGTGTTTGATTTTCTGAAGAAGTCAAACAGTTGGGTTCAACACACTACATCAGTGTCTGCTAATGGGTTCATGGGGGGATGGGGAGAGAGGCTTTTTGGTTTGTCATCTATTTGTAATGCTTTCTTCAGTTCTATGACTTTCTGTATTAGACCAGATTGCGTTTTCAGATGTCTTGGTCTATTCTCATAAGTGCTGAAGAACTAGTCCATGGGAATGCGCAGTAGCTTCTCATACAGGATCAAGGCCTTCTCTTCGATAAGGGAACATATTGTGGTGTTTCCTGTAACTAGGAGCATTGCATCAATGGGTGTTGATTTTATCCCTCCAGTAATTAGTCGTAATGCTTGGTTGTGTGCCTTCTCGAGTGGTTTGAGATTCACCTCTGTGGCTGTAATGAGTGGCTCACAGCAATACAACATTATTGGCTGAATAAACATCTTGCAAGTGGTGTTTAAAGTTGAGCGCGCACAGCCCCATACGCTACCAGCAAGACGCTTCAGTACTTTCAATCTATTGGAGACTCGTTCTGCTATTTTCGAAATGTGACTTTTCCATATTAGCTTTGTGTCAAACGGCATTCCGAGATATGTGAACTCATTGGTTTTTTCTAGGGTAGTATCCTTGTACCATAGAAGCGGGTTTATGCTAAATGCGCCAAAGAAGATGTTTGGAATGCAGTTTTTGTGGTGTTGATTACCATTCCATTATTATCCCACCTGCTTGTTCTCTCCTAAGAATATTGTTGGTCTCAAGAAATCAGGTGAGCCTCCTGTTAACCATTCTTTCCGTAAGTTTAGCCAGCACGCTTGTGAGGGCGATAGGCCTATAGTTGTCGCAGTTGCTAGGGTCTTTGCCCTTTTTTAGTACTGGTATTACTATGGCAACTTTCCATTGGTTAGTTACGAGACTGGTCTCCCAGATTTTGTTGAAAAGCGTCAGCATGGTTTACTTGGCTATTGGTCCCATTCTAATTAGAAATTCCGGATGAATGCAATCATCCCCAGGAGACTTCTTGCACTTTAGCTGTTTTATCGCAGCATTAAGTTCGCAAGGCCGGAATGGTTCAGTAAGTACATTATTTGGTGTTATGTTCAGGATTACATTATTTGGTGTTGCTATGTTTTCCTTAATTTCGCCAAACTGATAAACGCCAGGAGACTTCTTGCACTTGAGCTGTTTTATCGCAGCATTTAGTTTGCAAGGTCTGAAGGGTTCAGTAAGTACATTATTTGGTGTTCCGGAATGGTTCAGGATTACATTATTTGGTGTTGCTATGTTTTCCTTAATTTCGCCAAACTGATAAACGCCAGGAGACTTCTTGCACTTGAGCTGTTTTATCGCAGCATTTAGTTTGCAAGGTCTGAAGGGTTCAGTAAGTACATTATTTGGTGTTGGTAAGCAATTTGCTGTTTAAGCGTATTGGTTCTTTCTGTCTTTCTCTGTTGTTTTGGAGGTTACCCAGGAATTTGAATTTTTTTGCGAGGTTACCCAGGAATTTGAAAGTGCTTGGCTATCACTTTGATAGTTGATATTTGAGATGAACTTCTACCCAGGAATTTGAAAGTGCGTTGGCTATCACTTTGATACCAGAAATTTGAAAGTGCGTTGGCTATCACTTTGATAGTTGATATTGTTGGAAAGTGCGTTGGGTATCACTTTGATAGTTGATATTTGAGATTCGAAAGAAGTGCGTTTAGCTTGCAAGATGGCTTGCCATAGTGGAAGTCCGTTTAGCTTGTAAGATGGCTTGTCTTAGAACAGCATCACTTTGATAGGTGATATTTGAGATGAACTTGTCGAAAGCCACGGTTTAGCTTGTAAGATGGCTTGCCTTAGGACAGCTGATTTTGTTTAGCTTGTAAGATGGCTTGCCTTAGGACAGCTGACTGTATTGCTTGTAAGATGGCTTGCCTTAGGACAGCTGATTGTCGTTTGCTTGTAAGATGGCTTGCCTTAGGCCAGCTGATTGTCGTCTGCTTGTAAGATGACTTGCCTTAGGACAGCTGATTGTCGTCTCCAGTCTTGTACGCCTTCCGTTCTTTCAGTCTGATCAGCAGTGTTGCGAAGGGCGCTTTCTTTTCAGTTCCTCAAGGTGTTTAGTATAACACTCGATAGTGTTTAGTTTTGCCTCGGGGAATAGTTCTCTTTCTTTTCAGTTCCTCAAGGTGTTTGGACCAAAACAGCTTTCTTTTTAGTTCCTCAAGGTGTTTAGACCAAAACACTATCTTTCCAGTTCCTCAAGGTGTTTAGACCAAAACACTCATTTCAGTTCCTCAAGGTGTTTAGATCAAAACACTCGATAGGCTTCCTCAAGGTGCCTAGACCAAAACACTCGATAGTGTTTATATTTGCCTCGGGGAATAGTTTTCTTTGCACATCTGATCATATGGGAATAGTTTTCTTAGCACATCTGATCATAATATTCGTGATATTGTTCAGACCAAAACACTCGATAGTGTTTAGTCTTGCCTCGGGGATTAGTTGACTTTGCACACCTGATCATAATATTCGTGATATCATTGCGAAGTTTGTCAGGATGTTGGTTGAAGTTGAGGTGACTTGTGTGGAGTTCATTCTCTAAAAGGTTTGTGAACCTAGGCCAGTCAGTCTTCTTGAAGTTCCGTGGTAGCTTAGTTGGCACTTTCCATGTCATGCTTTTGCTGCCGAGTTAATCTAGCATGACTGGTTTGTGACCAGAACCAGGATCATCAATTATTTTGCGGTGTGTGTGCTCACTGATGTCGCTTGCCTGTGGAGTGGTGTAATATGACATAGTGTCGGGCCATAATAGTTATAAATCAATTGCCGGTCAATAAACTTTTTACCGTATGAGTATTCGTTGCCCAGGGTGCACCGCGTGAAAGTAAACTTTTCTAAATGAAAGAAAATCCAAGAAGTTTGAAATTAGAAAATGGTTCCACACGGAAAATACTAATGAAATGTTTCATTGGAATGGTAAGTCGGTATAATTAAATAGAGATATTGATCCAGATTCTAAACGTTCCTCCATTTGTTATGATGCTTATGCAATCTGAAACTCATATTTATCACAAAACTTATTAAATTTTAACAATAACCTATAAAAGCTACGGCTTGGGAGCGCATAACATTTTCAAATGCAATATTGCTTCTCACGCTATCATTTGGCAATATGTTCTTTTCATTTGCATTTGTATTCATTTCGTGACACCCAGCTAGATGCGTTAACAAAGAATAGCAGAATATTGAAAAAGAATTTGTTTCCATTGTAAAAATAGTTAATTTCCTGAATTACTGAAAAAAAACAATGTTTATTTTAGTGAAATCAATATCGTCACTTGGTCTAAACTTGTCTGAATATCGCAGAATTAAACTCAGAGAGCGAGGATTTGATTCAAAATAATCAATACATTAATACCAAACTTTATTCTCAACGTCTTCCTTAAACCATCTTAGCATTATATGGAGTGTAAAATGCAAAGGGAAGGTGGAGCAATCTTTCGCTTACAGTGATTGTGTAGGACCAACTCATCGGCATTAAAATGCTGTCTTTGCGATAAAATTTCAGAAGACCAAAGCTTAACCACTTGTCAATTTTCAGAAAATTATATTCCACCACAGCGGTTGTTGAGGACCAATGATTAGTTCAATCTTTTATGGTAAAATTTTATTTTTACGATTTGATAATCAGACTAGTCGTGTCTGATTAAATTTCCGTCTTGTTTCTATCCCCCTGCTTTGCTGGGGGGGGGGCTGGTAAAGGGATGGTAGGGAATGGGTGGGCATAACATTGGTAATATGCCTTTAACACAATAATTTTTTCACACATTACAACACTTTACTGTAGATCATAATAGCTTACTGAAAATGACCCACAAATCACCGCTATTTGCATGTTTTTAAATAAAGGAAATCACAAATCGAGCAAAGATACCTAAAAATGCCGAGTAAATCGGTTGGTCAATGAGCTCTGTTAAGTAAATGAGAACCTTGATGCTGTCTTCAATTTTTCGATTAAAAATCAATTTTTTTTGAATGCCAATGGTAAGTGGAACGATTTACTAGAGATGGATACCTACCCCAAAAGAAGTACTCAAAGTGCAACTGCTAGTCCATTTACTGCGTTTGGACTAATTCATCTTTAAATTACCTTCACAAATCGTTTCCCATTCACCGGAAACTTGTCTCAACTAAAGCGCCTAATCATTTCTTGCGGTATATGATTTCTGATATTTTATTTCGTCAGGACAACAACCACTAAGAGAAGTTGTTAGTTGAACGGGAATTCGGCAAAGTGCTTGCAAGCTCAATTTCAGTTGATTACATCCGGCAATCCTGAGAGAACACAGTTAACAGATTGCCACAGATATGAAATTGGAATCAAAGTCAGAAGTACATTCCACTAAATAGGCAATAGGCGAAGTAGCCAATCAGAAACTTTTGTTCATGGGCAAACTCGAGAATTTATATTATGAAACGTGAACTTCGATGCTCCACATAATTTGCTACCCGAATCCAAAAATCAACTAAGGAAGGTTCTTTGATATTCGACGTTCTTCTCAACTGCTTTCCGTTCTCTTCTCTTCATCATTCGTTAACCCTTCTGTCAACGATTTCAATTGTTTCCAAAATTAAAATTAAGTGCTCATTTCATATTTCTCAGGAGTTAAAACGTCAATCACGTAGGCACTTGGCAG